CGAAGGAGCTGGAGGAAGTGTCTGAAGAGAGAGAAGTCTGGGCATCTTTGTTTAGACTGCTGCCCCCGCGACCCGGTCCGGGATAAGCGGAAGAAAATGGATGGATGGATGGATGGCATCTGGACATAGTTTTAGGTAGAAGACATTTCACTTCTCATCCAAGAGACTTCATCAGTTCTGTCTGACCGGTGGTGAGCAGGAGGTATTTATCCCCCTGGGTGGGGTTTCAGTCCTTTGGTGGCCAACAATGTCCTCTAACAACTGAGTCATTAGGGTCTGTAGGTTTCCAATATACTTCTACCTTCAGGCTGCTGTCCCCTCCCAGGTGGACTGCACAATGCAGAAAGGCCAGACAGTCATCTCTGGCATCCTCACGAGTGAACTTGATGTTGCCATCCACAGAGTAGATATGCTTGGTGAAAGCTTCTACCTCCTGGGTCCTGATTTTAACCCATGTGTCGTCCACGTAGCGGAACCAGTGGCTTGGAGCGGTACCAGTGAAGGAAAACAGGGCTTTCTCCTCAATTTCTTCCATGTACAGGTTGGCAACTATAGGAGACACCGGGGAGCCCATAGCACAACCATGTTGCTGCCTATAGAAGTGCCCCCTAAACTGGAAGTAGGTAGTGTTTAAACAGAGTTCCAGCAGAGTGCATACATGGTCTGGGGTAAGGTTAGTCCTGTTATTTAATGAGTCATCCTTCAGCAGTTTCTACTTCACCGCCCTGACAGCCTCTGTAGTGGGGATGCAAGTGAACAAGGATGTGACATCATATGAGACCATGGTCTTGTCCTGCTCCAGCTGCAGTTGTTGGACTTTCCTTGCGAAGTCCTGGGAGTTTATTATGTGGTGCTGTGTATTTCCCACCAAAGGAGCCAGGATGGTGGCCATGTGCTTGGCTATGTTGTAAGTCACAGAGTTGATGCTGCTGACAATGGGTCTGAGTGGGGCTCCTTCCTTGTGTATTTTGGGTAGGCCATAAGTGAAAGGGATGGCCTCCCCAGGGTATAGTCTGTAGTATAGTCGCCGGTCAATAACTCCCTCCTTTTCCAGCTTCTGTAAACAGTCTATAACCTTCTTCTTGTAGCCACTGGTGGGGTCCCTATTCAGTGCTTCATAGGTGGTGGTGTCACTGAGGAGGTCAGAAACTCTGGTCTGATAGTCAGCTGAGTTTAGGACTACTGTACACCTGCCTTTGTCTGCTGGAAGGATTGCGATGGTTTCATCTTTCTCTAGTGTAGCTAACGCCCTCCTTTCCTCTGGGGTGGTACAATGAGGTGCAGATTTTTTAAACCTTTTGAGGCAAACTTGTGACATGATTTAAATAAAACATACAAGGCTTGGATGTGGACAGAGTCACAAAGAAAACATAAACAGCGTTTAGCAAAAGGCTGAACTCGTCTAGTGAGACACAATTTTCACTACACTGTTGTCGCTCAATGGAAACTCTTTGATATCTACAGAGAAGCGGCAGCTTTACACCAAAGACACATTTCAACTCCAATGTTTTCACACTTGAGTAAAAACCACCTGTAGGATGGTTTTTAATAGATTTGTTTTCTGCCCTAAATGGAGTCAGATGGAAACATGTTAAATCTACAAATGCTGGAATCAGTCTGTAAAATATAGATTGATATATAAATACCATCTGTTCTGAATTAAACACTGAGCAACTGTAGGTTCTGTAAAAACTGCAGCGGCTGAATCTGAATAAATACTCTCATGAAACTTTCTGAGACTAATGTGAACTAAATGCGACATCTGGTGTGTGCCTGAGCTCACCTTTACTCCTTTGTGTATCTGCATCACACAGCTGTAGAAATCCTGTGCAAGCCTAAAGATCTGTTTTCTTATGGTTTGAGCTTTACTAAGTGTTTGAACCCAGGTGTGGTCCTCTCATTGGATAATCTAATACACAGGAACTGTGTTTTTAATGTTTGCTCTTAAACACAACTAACAACTTTGTAATGATTAAGTTGCCTTTTTCTTCCAATGGCTGACTAAATGTAAAAATGCCTGCAAGTTCTCAGAGAAGCTGAAAATGGAGCAGGTTTAATTCTTTCACTGGACAAATTAATTGTCAATTAAAACATTTTTTTTAATTACTTCTTATATTTATTTTAATCAATTCTAGTTTAATCATTTTTATTAGAACAGACTAATTATATACATTTCTATGCAGACAATAATGTTTAATGTTTTCCCTTGGAAAACAGGTCGCAAACCTTCACCTGTAAAACAAGGCTAACCTTTTCCACCAGGCTGCTCTTTAGTGACCTTTAATGACACCGAGATAAACCCCTGGTCAACAGGCCACAGTTGCTGTACAAGAATAAAAACACCCTTCTCTCTGTGTCTCAGGTGTGTTTCTGGCCTGTTGGACACCTTTCTTCGTTGTCCACGTCACCAAGGTGTTGTGTCAGTCATGTGACATTGGCCCCACCCTCATCTCCATGGTAACGTGGCTCGGCTACGTTAACAGCGCCGTGAACCCAATTATCTACACCGTATTTAACGTAGAGTTCAGGAACGTGTTTCACAAGCTGCTCTGCTGTCGGGCATGACACTCGAAGACAGAGGTCTCGTGATGTCCTCAGACTGTCCAGGATTAACTACCTCGTCCCCAGAGCCAAGTGCTCGTGAAAATGGCTACGGACAGTCACAGATTTGCTACGTTCATCATCATCAGCAAGAACATTGCAGCTGGACTGAAATAGTGTCTTATTTTGAAGGTTTGGATCATGTGTCAGGCTCTTATTCTGACAGCCCAGAGGTATGAACATGTGCTGTGATATCTGAGCATTTTCATGGTGGCATTGTTTTGAAAGGCACTTTTTAAATTGTTTTCATTTGTTTTACACAAAAAGTGTTGATGAATATTTTTGACTGAAGCAGAAAACTATGTTTATCTAAAGAAATGAAAGAACAAATGTTTTGACTGGTGCTGTCAGACAATAACAGAAATGTGAAGTCTGTTAAAGGGGAGAATCTTGTTGGCTGGATTTTTCTGTGACGTGAAGGTGAATGTGATGAGATGCAGCCGAATCAACAACAAATGGAAAAGATTAATGATGCTTGTGTCTGTCTGTAAACACCTGGACCAGATCTTTAAATAGACCCGATCTCATCTCCCTGCCCACTCCGATATAACAGGAACATCCAGATCTGTGCAGGACCAACAAGCACCTTCACCAACATCATCATCAGACAGAAGACAGAAACCGAGCTTCTGCAGAAAGAAGCTGCTCAGTCGGAGTTAGATAAGTCCTGAGAAAAGGTCAGCGCACCAGAACAAAGGACTGATCCACAGAGGGTCAGGTGGACCAACTCGCCTTTAAATGTCACATGGGGAGGACAACCACGCTAAGGAGAAGACAGAAGATGAGGAAGACAGAAGGTCTATGAAGATGTGTTGTCAGAGGTTTTGTGCCTGAGCGGTGCTCAGCAGGTTTCACCCTGATGATGATGACGACAACAGAGATTTTTACAGTTGATATTTGTTTTGATTTTTTTTGTGCATGTTTAAGGCAGTGACAACAGAGAGCGGTGGGGACGTCTCTTCATTCCGTGCAGACAAACACACAGAAAGCCAGTGGTGCAGAGTAACTAAGCGCATGTACTCGAGTACTGTACTCAAGTACAATGTTGAGTTATCTGTACTTTGAGTATTTTCATTTTCTGTTACTTCAGTCTTTGACTTCATTACATTTTAGAGGTAAATATTGTACTTTTTACTTCACAACATTTTATAACTTCAGTTACTTTTCAAAACCAGATATAAAAATACAGTCTAATTATAAGACCTCATTGATCGGTGGTAGAAAATTCACAAACTACCCAGCAGTACTTCAAATTAAATGCACATAAGCCAGTTAAAACTAGCCCCGCCTTTACCAGCTACAACAGTAAATCAATAATATGATAAAGAGGAATGTGAAATGTGACCACTCTGCAGAATGACTTGAATTACTTTTAGTACTTTAAGTATGTTTTGATGCCAATACTTTTGTACTTCTATTTAAGTAATATTTTGAATGCAGGACTTTTACTTGTATGAGTACAGTATTTTTACACTGTGATCTTAGCACTTATAAGGTTAGGGAACAAGGTGAGGGCCAGGGCTTGGGGCTAAGCAAACAGTCTGAGTGGCTCTTCCACTGCTGCAGAGTATGAACTGTACCTTCCTGAAGACGTAACAGAGCGAGCAGATGCAAAGCCAACCACCTGGAGTTCTGACTGGCTCCCGTATCTGTCAGAATGTGGGACAAGAACCTGCGTGATCCAGTTTTCTGTTTATTGTGTTGTTTAAAATACTTCTCCTGTACATCAGGATTTCATACTCTATAAACTGTGATTATACGTTGTGCTTTACTGTGGTGTGCAGCCTTTGTGCCCGAGACAAGTTTCCCCTCAGAGACAGTAATGTTGTTCATCTGAAGTCCCTGGTGCCGCTCTCTGCTGCACAGTGCTCAGTTAACTGAGCCTCACGGAGCCTAACCAGCCTGCACGACTCCGCAGTGACAGAATACTTCTCCTCTACACCAGGCAAGTGAAAATCGAGATAACCAGCTTTGCTTCGCAATCAACCTTGCGCATCTCATATTTCCTGAAATGAGAGATGATAAGGCGGAGAAGAAGGCACGTGAGTTTCAGAGACAAGCGGGTCTAACCGAGCATACGCCTGTGTGTTTTACGCACATACAAAAATTCGAAGAGGTGACTCGACGTAAAATTGTGGTGTTTTACAGAACCGAGAAAGAACATCTGAATGTATTTCAAACCTCTAGCGCTCCAAATGATCCGCCGTTATACATGTTCCTATTTGACAACCATTATTACGGTGTAAAAAACCCCCGAGTGTTCATCGGCTCCAAGTATTTCTGCACAAACAATTTGTTTCAGAGAATTTATAATAGTCATGATGGTAGATCTGACGTCATCCGCGTTGTCCTTCATCCTCGCTCCTTGGTTGGTTTGTTGACCTCGTTCTGACCCCCCATTTGGTGATCTTGTCGCCAGGCAGATTTTGAATTCTCAGTACAACATATCCTGACCTTTCAATAGACATTACCCTCCTACATACATCTTTATAAACAGTTAGTTGCTGTCTGCAGATTCAGAAAGAGCGCCAGCGTTGCTATGACACCTGGTCTACTTCCTGTTCTGTGGTTTCCTGTCTACTCTTACAGCCTTATACATGTCTCCTACACTCTTTACGGCAAATGAAATGGTTCACACAAGTAAATCATAAAGCATATGATACTATTACAATGCATAAGAAAATAACATGTAGACATATTTGCTAATGCAGATTATAATGT